GAAAACACACATGGCTTCAAGGTGCGAGAGAAGATTTGGATCAAACACGTTCTTGGACTGGAGACTCTGCACCTTTGTGTTGCCCTGTTTCCAAAAAGAGCAATAAAACTTTAGTGTCTAGACATTTTCTCATGAAATTATTGCAAACCTGAGTAATTATGTCTCTGCAAGTAAAATAAACTTCAACAATGGTGGGGGGGATTGGCCAAAATCCTCTTTTTGTTCACTTTGATATCAACATAAGGTCAGCAGTCTTGTCGTACTGCAACAATAGCCCCCGCTAAAGAGACATATTGTGTTTATGTTATTCTTCCTGATTAATTGGGGCCTCTCATTTCCCTCTGCTCAAATAATCTGGCGCCATTTGTAACAAATTACGTTGTCATCACAACACGGCCCAGTGTTTTTTAATGCAGGAGCACGACGCAGTGCACATGTGAGCTAAGATGCTCACAGTGTGGGGAGGTTTTCAAACCTCTGAGTGTCCAAACGGGGCTATTGCCTCGGGCCAGCGCACACTTTCCTACCGCCCCACTCCAAGCCTCACGCCTGTTTGTTTGGAGTGGTTTCCCGCTCCGGCCCGGATCAGCCGTGTAGAGAATGGTGCTGCACGTGGCCCCAAGATGTGGGCTGGTTTCAGAAACGAAGCCAAACTTAATAATATGACTGATTTCAAAGTCTGACGCTGCTTCTTTGTTAGCAGGTTTGGGGGTGGAGGGGGTTAAGAATCTGTTATTCGAATGTGATCACTTGTTGTTTTTCTGTGATCTTACTTTTACTCGTGCTTTAGATTTATCATTACTACAGCAAATCTTCTAGGCTGGCTTATGCTTTTAACCTTGTCAGAGCTGATAAGAGACCCCCCCCCCCTTTTCTCTATATGACTTGTGTGTAAATTAGTGGCCTGGAGCTGGTGTTAGCTTTGTGTACACTCTCACTGCAGTTGCTGAGCTATAAAGCAGCCTTTATTGTCAGGAAGAGGTGTGTGTGTGTGTGTGTGTGTGTGCGTGCGTGCGTGCGTGCGTGCGTGTGTGTGTGTGTGTGACAGGCAGGTTATTCTTTGACCAGGTTTATGATGCCCTGAAATGGACCACATTAAAGGGCTTTTGTCTCGCAGCTGGACCATAGACGGCTCATCACTGACATCACTTCACACTTCCAGCGAGCAAAGTTCAGTCTGTGCTTATCTACTGAAGAAATGGGAAAGATAATGATGATGTATTTCTCTGTGTGTGTGTGTGTGTGTGCAAGTCCCAGCTCCCTAGTTCTTCATGCTCTCTCCCACACACAGACTTGCAGTCACAGTGTCATTTGCTATGACATCACCCCCGAGACTCCAGGCTTTCCTGTTCTACCACTGCCCTGAGAACACAGCTATTTCTTAAAGCCTTTTTAATGACTTTTATATGGGACTTCAGTGGCTTGGTTAATGTTGATAATCTGCTGCCGGCTGAGGTCTGCTTTTCTTCCAAAGCGAGAGTTTTATACTTTCTGATGAGTTTGTTTCCACGTTGGCTGAAATTGAGGAAAATGCTAAATGATTTAATGAGAAATATAATGTATTTAATTATTTATCAAACACCTTGGCCTCTGTGTTTGTGGCACTGAGCTGAGCTATAAATAAAAGTATGCATTAGAAAACTCGCTTTATACAAAATGTATACACTACACTGATGGAAATAGAAGCATAGCTGCCTGATCCTATAAAACAAGCTAATCAAGGCTAACGCTAACAGCCACAGCTCATTATTATGATTTTCAGACTCTGTGAAGATGTCTTCAATTATCTAGATATCTCTAATGTGACATTGCTGATCTCATCTGAGCTATGGGGCTTGGAAATGATGAGGAAAATAAATAACTATGAAGCATTTAAAAATATGTTGTAATTCACAAGACGGACAGATTTCAACCATTCTAAAGTTGTGTGACTTGTTTTTACTACATACTCCCCACAACTTTGCAATTAATTATTGGAATAGTCTCTGTTAGCGGAATATCTCATGAACCAGTGGATGAATATTAAATAAACTTAAATAAAGTAATCATCTACAGTTCAAGATGGCTGCCTCAGCTGATCTTAGCCTATACATAAATAGCTGTACCTCAGTGAGTTTAACACATATTGAGCTAAAATTTAGTAACTCTTTGTAATTTACAACAAACACTGTAAGTGCTAACAGAAAATGAAAGATGTTTGAATTTTGTATGAGATTGGCCACAATGTTAGTAGTTCATAGTTTTTTGAATCAGTTTAAACAGTAACAACGTTTGCTACACCATATTTTACTGCACACATCATACCTCCCCTTTTACAAGTTGATTTGACACAAACTTATTTGACAGAAACTTGAACAAAGTCACGGAACGCTAAACCCAGTTTGGCATCGGACAGGATATTTTGGTTGCTCCTTTTACTTCTGAGCTTGTTTGTTTCTCTTGGCGTCTTATTCTGACGTCTCTCCACTTCTGAAGCAGTCAAAAAACTCTTAGGGCTTCTAATATGCCTCTGATTCCGTCGCAGCAAATTCTTCGAGTAATGTGCGAGTGCAAGATCGCTTTCTGGAAAGCATTAACTGCGTCTCCCTCCTCTCCCTTTCTTCTTTTCTTCTTCTTCGAGAGGTGGGGGAGGGAGTTAGTGAGGGAGAAAAAGCAGCCTTATCACCATCTCCTTCTACAGTAGGTGTTAAAAGACTGTGAAACTTATCTGATCTGATAGGTAAGAGAATAAACCAGTCTGAATCAAGTGGAAGGGAAAAGACACAGTTGTGTAAACACAACAGGTGACTCAGAAGAAGGTGCGCGCGTGCCTGCGTTTATACACAAAAGACCAGTTTTGTTTGTTGTCTTTGCTTTTAGCACCAGTATGACAGGTTTTATTTCAGCCATCTCTTTTTATGTTGTGCTCTCCTTAATATTTTAATCATGTTCATTTCCCACTGTTGAAGGAAGTATAAATCAAGATCATGTTTTTTTTTTTTGTAGTTTAACCCAATATCTCATAAACCAAGAGGGCAAACTTTAATGAAACTTAAGGAAAGAAGTAATTTAGACATTTGCAGCTTATATAATCGTAGACCCCTCTATCAAACTAGAAACTGGAAGGGGGCGGGGATTTGTATAGATTTAAAGAGACAGCATCAAACTGAGCTGTTTGGAGACAAATTTCATGAAAGAGGTGAAAGAGGGGATGTGGAGTTACAAAAATGAGACCAAATCATTGCAGTTCCACTTTATATAAATCTCAGCTGAATGATTTAAATGAGAAAAAGAAGAATTTAAAATCAGGACAGGTCCACTTTAAAATGCAAGGAAAAAAGGTGTCAGCTTTACAAATACTGAGCTACAGTTTGTTGTGGTAGTAGCTGTAAGTCATTCAGAACACATAATCGACACATTGTGCATCATATTTGCTTGAAACTTTGGCATTCATTATTAGAGTCAACAGTGTTAGCAAAATATCTCACGAAATATCAGAAAAAAATCATCTAAAACTCTAACATTTGAAGTCAGTACAAAAAATAGGTATAACTCAGTCAATTTAGCAAGTTTTTCCATTGTCTGACTAAAGCTTTATTTTCCTAAATTTCAAGCAAGAGTCGAAGTCCTCAATGCGCTCTGTGCCAAAGTCAAGTTAAAAAAATTGATTGGCCATATGAGTGGCTAAACTACTCTTCAGACTTCATCATGTTGTTGTGTGTTTGTGTTGGCAGGTTATGTCTACCTCCAGGCTTGGCCGCTGCATTTTGCATTTTACTATTTTCCAGTAATTGCCTCGTGTTGCAGGGGAACAATATTTCAGCCAAATAAACCACAAAAGGAGGCGCCCCAATACAGGGTCATCCCAATGTAGATGTTTATGCACACCTCCTTGTCAGACCTGTGACTGGAGGGCAGACACTGGCTGTGCTATTATCTCGTCACACGTAGACGTGTAGAGAAAAAAATAACTGGGGAGAGGCTGTCATTATCTGCAATTGAGCTCAGAAGACAAGAAAGGGAAATTTGTCAAGCTAGACGGCGATTGAGATTGATTATTTTAAGAAAAACGTTTTGTGTATTGTTATTAACTCACCTTCCACGACGCATTAGCTGGCTTAATATTCGTCCCTGCTTTCTTTAAAAATGTGTAGCACAAAGGAAGGCACTGTGAACTTSGCTGAGCTGCTCTTCCTGCCCCAGTGACACGAGCATATAAAGAATGTGTTACATCAGGTGAAAGTGTCCCCAGCCTCTGGGAACCAACGGCCATCTCTCCGCGGGTCTGTGAAACATTCCTCTACCGTCTCTCACGTCTGGATGGGGAAGTGGGTGGGGGGTATGGCGGGAGGACGGCAGGCCTAGAGCTGTGGGCTCCCTTTGTCCCGGCCAACCTAACTCCAAAACACAAACACTGGTCTCGCTGCAGGTCTCCGCTCTGCCAGCATGCAGGCTACATGCCAACTGCACAGAGGGCAAGTGTATGACTGAGGTGACGCTTGTTTATGTGTGGGGGGGAAATCATTACTTATTTCATGTACAGGCGGGGGTGTGGGTGTGTGGAGGGAATCTTGTTATTTGTCAGCGGCCTCGCCATATCCCCAGACAAATCGCTCTCTAATATGCCTCCGTACCAAGTCAAGTGGCAGCTATTAAATACACCGTTAGCCTAAAGTGCAAATTGACTGCTGCAGATGAATGGCCTGCGGGTCGTGTTTGGAAAGTGAGCCAGGAGAGAGGCACTCTGTATCGACAGTATTGATCCGGGCCCTCCTTGAAGGCTAGCTGGATTTATGTACTGCAGTGTTTTCAGACGTGTGGACGGATGATGCTGTTTGTCAAACAGGAGATGTAATCGCTGCCATTGATCAAAATCCCCTCCTCTAACACATATTTTTTTTAACTGCTTTGAGAAAACAATTGGTGTTTTTAAAAAATATCATAGCATGACTAAACTATAATTGATGCTTTCACTTGGAGGATATACCTCTTATATTAACAATTTTTTTATTATGTTTCAGAAATCTTGGCAACAATAAGCTGACCTCTATCATCGCTGAAGCCTTTGTAAACCTTCCCAACCTGAGTGAACTGTAAGTAATAGTTCATCATAAGCACATTCAAATGAGTTGTGTATAATATTACATTTTCATTTTCTGCAGCTTTTTCAATGTTTTTATCTATAATTCAGAGCAGACTAATATCACCCATCATGTATTTTCACGGCACTTTCTAGCAGCATCCTGCTATGTGTTGCCTTGAACCGAGTCCAATTAAGAATTAAGTGGTGGTTTTCTATATTAAGCCTTCCCCTCCACCACCTGATACTGTGGCCAACGCTGGCCTTGTAAATATTTTATATAGTGAGGAGAGGGCTTGGCTTTGTGTCACTCAGCGCCAGCGTACAGAAACACACACACACACACACACACACACACACACACACACACACACACACACACAC